TTCTCCCATAGCAGGTTCTGCCTTGAATACACTACTCAATTTGATTCTGTTGTGTTTTATGTGCACTGAGCCCAAGTAGAAGCCTTCTGGCATAATGTCAGTGCCATTTTGCTCTTAGAGATTGTAGCTTTCAGCTTGATACTTTCTCGTAATGACACTACCCTTATTCACCCTTGTTTTGATGCTCTTTTGATGTAAAGTGTGTTTTCTGAATGAATGGGTTTGCTCCTTGTTTATAATTCAAATTGCTGAAGCCTATTTTCACTGGATTTTCAATTATGCAGCATTTAATTCCAGAGTTCATTTTCTTTGAGAAGAATCCTCAGAAGGCTTTTAAATACCAGGGTACCACTTTTTGTTCAGGAAGTCTCTGAGTCACAAAGGGTAGCAGGAGACTGTGCTGAGGAGGTATCACTGTGTGCTTACTCTGATATCACACTATTTCCTAAGTTTGTGTAATTGGTTAGTGATGCGGGCATGATAGATATGTGGTCTCACCTGGTACAGCTCCTTTATATACCTATGCACACAAAATGTGTGTATGTCTTCATTCCTCATGTCTTTTTTGGATCTCATTTTCTGTATTTCTTATATAATCAGAAATCACTTACAAAAAATGAAACATTTAGGGTGATATCCTAGCAGAAGTCCCAGACTGTGGCTGTATTGGTGCACTGGGCAGGGCCAGGAGCAGTGGCATTGATGATCTGTGGAATTTGGGTGTTAGCTCACTCCAGGGCAGGGTTCTGCCCATGCCAGCCAGCGGTCTCTGCAACTGAGCCAGAGATGGGTCAGGGCAGCAGCGTGAGCCAGGGACTCTTCCAAGCAAGCAGATATGGATGAGAACTCCTCTTTGGGGAGTGAGCAGAAGGACAGAGTTTAGCCATATGGACATGGGCTGTGCCATAAAACTTGTGCTCAGGGGCAGGGAATTGGCCCTGATCTGCTGTATTTTCTATTCCAAGGCAGGCCTGTTGATTTCATGCCACAGTGCCAGGCCCTAAGACAGAATGCATTTACAGCTCTCTGTATACAGGACGTAATTTTAATGCTTGGCTCCTGCTGCAAAAAATGTCACAGTAAACTTCAAGAGGATTGTTTATGTCCCCAGAACCTTAAGCTGGAATAATGACTCTAATTTATTTATGCACATTTTGACAGCTTGTTATGTTTTATTCCGTAAAGCTAAATGTGGTCTCAACACCTTGGAGTTATTGCTACCAAGTAATGATGCCAGGGAGAGATAGGGATTTTTGTCTCTGAGCAGGGAAGAGCTTAGCTTTAGAAGTTTTAAACTCTGTAAGGATTTAAAACTACTGTCCTTGTGTCTGTCTGTGTGCTTGAGAATGTACAGTGAAACTGAGGGGTGATGTGTCTGCATAACTGAGTGGGAACAGATCGTCTCTACATCAACACTGAATGCTTGAATAACCCAGAAACCAGTGACCTTCATGTGGGAGCTGTCACACTCAGCAAGAGATGGGGACCTCTTTGAGTAGAGACCTGTAAATGCTTGCTTGCTCTGTAAGGTGACTCAGTTTGTTTTAGATCTTCTGAATGATACAGACTGGGTACCCCCTTAAGAGAAATTCAAATTCTTTCTTTATGGATGTCTGAAAGACAGACCCCCTTCTAGTCTGAAAGGGTTGTATAATTTCTGGGTGTGTTTTATGTATCCATAATATTTTCAGTGTCTAATATAATGCTTTAAGTTTGATAATATATTGACAGCCAATCAGGGTGTTCATAGGAACATTGAATAGTTTTGTAAACAAGTAGAATATGATATTAGTCTGTAGAAGGCTACTTTGATGAGGAGTTTAAATGAAAACAAACCAAAAAAACCAGTAAAACCAGAACACTGGTCGCTGGATTCTGTATGATTTTGAGTTTCTTTTTCTGTTGTATACAGCAATATCTATACTATCAAAGAAAACTCTGGGGAGCATCCACAAGCACCACATTGTCTACAATAAAGTGTTGGAAGAGTCTCTGGCAGGCTTTAGACCTGAACCAACTAGATTTCTCAAATAATTTATAGACACCATTCAGGGATGAGCTCCAACCCAGAACCCATGCTGAACAGGTACACCATCTTGTCTTGGAGGTAAAGAGGATATGAACAGGTAGTGTTGCAGACATTAGTTGTAATCCCAAAGAACTATCCCTGGCTTGTTCAATTTTCTAGTGCAGGTACAGCTAATGCAAGCTTACTTCTATAGCATATACTTTGGGAAGCTGGGTTGAAATGGGGAAGGGGAGGAAGAGCATGTTTGACCTAATCCAAGATACGTGGGGATGACAGAAATCACATTAACATGGACTCTTAATTCCTTCCTGAATATATTCTGTTGGCTCTTAACAGTAGTAACACACAAAAAATAACATTCATGGTGGATCCCTGGAGTCTCAGTAGGGACTGCTGAGAGACAAAGCTGTAAATATGTCGTGATGGACTGAAAAGGAAAAGGTATCACTCTAAGGGGGAGCTCAAAGGGTAAATGTTGGCTCATGTTCACTAACCTGGGTGACAGGGCAGACTGGTCATTGCCTTTGGGTTTAGTCTGTGTTTTAATGCATTATTTTTTTTATACTTTTTCTTAATGGACTTGTCCAGCTGCACAGTTTCTAGGGCCAAGTTCATTTATGCTTCAGAAACAATAGGGGGATGTTACTCTGCTGCTGATACAGAGGCACTGATGAGAATGATCCTATTACCATTCAGTTACTAACTCCTTAATCAAAGCTTTAACTAGGTGTATGATCCAAGAGAAAGACCCGTGGCCACACTGGGATTCAGATGCAAAATCATTCACCATCAAATTCTAGTGGTAGAAATTTGGTTTTCTTACTCCTGCCCTGAGGGAGTTATCAAAGTCAATCTGACAACTGACTGTCTCTGCAGTCCAAGGAAGGAGATCTGCCTGAACATGGAGAGTGAGCTGAATTCCCACCTTTTTTGGGTTGGCATTTCATATCAGGTTTGAATCTCATATTTTATATGTCTCTCAGGGATGGTGAGTTTATCAGGATGGCACTTGCATATAGTTCTATAATCACTGTGACAGTTCCTTGATCTCTAAAGTAATTTCCTGAAAAAATAGTATGAAAATCACCAGTGTTAGTTGGTGATTTTTAAGTAATCAAATGCAGCTGAAAATATGATATACAAGAACTTAGGCCAAATCTTGTCTATAACCTTATGTCTGAGCTATATAGAGTATGGCATACTCCACTGTCCTTTTTGTGAGAAGGTAGAAATGGGTTCCATTTCCTGAAATTGTTGCCATTCCTGTTGTTAGCAGAGGCAGAACTTGGAGATCATTGAAGAAATGAGCCATTGGGAGTCTGATGTAAGTTAAATTGTACCATCAGTGAAGTCTGCTGTTGTCATCCACAGGAATTTTCCACTGTGGTATTTTAGCCTTGGCTCCTAGACCTGGCCTAAAGTATCTGGGTTTTTTGTTCTGAAGTGGCTGGTCCTGATACATAGTGAAGAATGCACAGCCTATGTCTTGCTCTGGACTCTGTTTCATCTTGTAAAATACACATAGTTAATCTCTGTCCTGTTCTCTTTTTAGACAGAAGACACTGTCAACAAGGAGTAGTTGATGGAGTTCCTGACAGCAGATGTTTCTTTTAGTTTGACTGCTATAGGGTTTTTTAATATACAAGCATGATTTTTTTTTTCTTGTCTGTGGATTCGTGTAAAAATGAATTATGGAGCTGAGGCCTGCACTGCATTAGGAAATTGCTGTGCTTTAAATTAATTCTCTCTACAGACCTTTGGGTGTTTGGAAAGTCCAACCATCAAATGCTTTCTGTTTTATATAGTATGGACAAGAGTTCTCATCTTCATTCCTGCTCCAGAGAAATTGACCCATAGGATGAGGAGGTGGTTAGTTTTCTGTAACATAAGCAACTACATTGTGGCAAACTTGAAATCTCATCTTCTTTTCTAACTTTCTCATTAATTTTACAGCTAGACAGGTAAAATAGGCTGCTTTCTAGATACTCTTAGTCTTCCAGTTATGTTCATGGGTATTCTGAGCTACAGCCCACAATAGCTCTTAGCATTTTGCAGTGTATGGACAAATGGAAGTAGGAGATTGTGACTTTTTATGACTTTTATAAGGAGTTGGCATAAGGTTATTACAGTTTAATTTGGGATATATTTTGCTAGCTTTTGCACATATGGAATAGCATCTTTCTCTGCAATAATCATACCTATATAATTCTGTCAGAATCTGTCCTACCAGCTGGAGTGAGCTATTTCACACAGTATCTGATATTGTTTCCTTTTTATCTGCTGATGCAGAGAGCTTTGCTGTATATCCTGATATCCCATGGCTCCCCTTTTGGAGCTCTGTTCACACATCTTGATTCCATCTGTACTCTTGAAGAGGCCTGCTAGGTGGAACATGTATCTGTCAAACACATGTCCATTCTGGACAGCAGCCCTTTACGGGTCACGCCTTGAAACATCGCTAATTTGATTTCAAAGGGAGGTATTACAAAATGCCTTTTGTGTTGCTAGGCCTCAGGAGAAGGACCTCAGTTGGACACAGTGAAACACTGCAACTGCTTTAGCAGTTCTGTTCCTTTTTGGAACAGATATAAGAATCAGTCACGTCTTTGTCTTGGAGTGCTGCACCTCTTTGGAAGTCCCCTGATGTGAGAGGGGATGGCTGAATGTGTGTTAAAAGGTCCAGGGGACAGAATCTTAGTGATCCACAGCATCCATCAGATGCTCTTGAACAACCTCAGGAAATGAGTGGAAATCTGACTCTTGTTTGACTATCCTGAGTCCTGAGAATGGCACAGTGGGTGCAGAGGGTTGACGTACACATCTGTGCACTCCCTGGCAGTGCTTTGAAGATCTGTGTTGCAGCCTGTGGCTTTTTATGATGCAGTCATGTGCATTTTTAAGACTTAGAATTAGACACCTTTGAGCTTGAAGTTAAGCATGACTGTGACTCATTCAGCTGTCACTCTTACAGACTTGGTGTGAGAACCATATGGAAGGGAAGAAGTATCCCAGACCCAAGATGCAAGTTTATGGATTGAAAGACAGGAGGCCAAACACCGAAACAGTATCTAACGAAAGTGAGTACTTGGTAAAAATTTCCACTTCTAATTGGTCAAATTTGCAACATAAATGAAACCGTTTTCTTGAAGTAGTGGCTTTTCCTGTTGGTAAGCTGTGAATCTTCCCCCACAGCTAATTTACTATTTTCAGTTAGTTACAGTCGCTCATTGGCTGCACAATCTCTCAGCATATTAGAGCCATAGTAGTAGTCTGTCTGGCATTTGTAAACAGGCAACACTTGGACTTCATAATGCTCTAACTCAGTGTACTAGTGTGCCAAAATAAAGGTCATTTCAATTTCATATTATGTCACACAGTTTTGAAGTGACATGTATTTAATGATTTTTCTCCAGTAAATGAATGATAGCAAGTATTAAACTAATACGCTTTGATGATATGCCCACAAAAAAGGCAAAATCTTTTCAAGAACATTAAATTAATATTTTACCAGGAAAAAACTCCACAACCCAGAACAAAGATTCAAACTCCTACCCAAAGCTTCTGCAATGAAGAAAATCAGACTTCTTGACAGTTTGCATGAATTTCGCTGTAATTTATTTATGTGTGTCCATCACTGCAGAGTGAGGCTAATCTTTTGATAGAGGTAGAAGAGCACGAAGGTTGCAGTTTGAGCTTGTCACAGAAGCTGTATCACAAAGCTCATAACAGGACCACTAAAGGAACAGAAAAACCAGTCCTTATGTGTATGAAGCCTACAATTGTGCATAGACATGTTTAAAGTCCTCATTTAGCAAAGCCTTCTTGTCTTCCAACTCTGCATAGTATTCCAGGTAGTTTCTATCTGCCATCTTTCTAGCAGGCTATGGGCTCAAATAGGCACAAACTGGAGCACAGGAGATGCTGTCAGAACATCAGGAAACAGTTTTCATGGTGAGTGTGGTCACTCACAGATTTCCCAGGAAGGCTGTGAAGTCTCCATCCTTGAGGTATTCAAAAGGATAGAGACTTGACATGGTACTGGGCAACTTGCTTCAGGTAGCCCTTCTTGAGCAAGTTGGTTGGGTCAGATGACTCCCAGAGATCCCTTCCAATGCCAACCATTCTATGACTGATTCTGTGGCTGCTTGATCTGGGCTGCTGACATCTTGTTATTCAAAGGCCTAAAGGCATTGAACAAAATCTGTTACCCAGTCTTGGTTTGGGAATGTTGCTTTTGGTGTTAGCAGTTGGTTGTGTGCTACTTTTAAGAAACAGTTCCTTCAGCACCGAGAACTGTTTTGATTCTTGGTGGTGTAGCTTTTGAGTATGCAGGAGGAAAGGTTGTATCGAGGCTTCTTCTCCTAGGAGGAAGTGTGAAGATTCCAGGAAGTAGGATGAACATTAGTGAATGGCTGGTAGTGTGAACACTGGGGGTGTACACCTCACAGCAGTTTGTAACAAAGCTTTTATCAGCTGGTGCTTGCACAAGTTGATTCTTAATATTCTGTGTTGTGTTTAGTAGTCAGAGGATAAATTGTCTCTTAAGCTGGTCATACACCAAGTTGGGTCTTCTGTTTGGTCACTACTATCATTGAAATAAAACGGATGATAAACTGTAGATCAAGAAGTCAATACTGATTACAAAATAAATTACCTGTCCCCTTGAACTCCTGTCTGACCTCACTGAGCAATAGGATTAGGAAGACTTCAGGGGAAATTTGTTATTAGATTGCAATCCTAGGATGAGACAGATAAATTAATCCAAATTAATTTCTTTTGGTGACACATTTTTCTGAATGGCACTTTAGGTACTCAAACTTCAAAAAGTCTGCAATATTGCATACAGATAATAAACCTTCCTGTGTTTTTCAACTGATCAATTGCTTTTTTGGGTCAGTGGTTATATGACATTATTTAATAGAGGACAGCTAAATCCATATAAATAATAATTTAAAAAAGAGAAAGAGATTGTGTACTTGCTGTGTTAAGTCCACTGGGCCAATGATGAAACTTAATAATACAGCCATTCCTTACCACTCTTAATTGTTCTTACAACCTGTCCTAAAATGTTTTACTATCAATAATCATGACAAATATAATATGATATTCCTATTTTTCCAGTGCATGGGCATGAGACTTGCATGAGCTACAATGATGATAATATTTGGCTTTAAAATTATTTTAATAAATTTTGAATTGTTTCTATTCATATCAAATTCAATGCCAGAAGATAAACAAAACGGTTTCAGGAATACTTTTGATGCTGTGTTTAATGCATTCATAGTAATAGGAAACCAAAGTTGTTATCTTTTGAATGGAACTGAGAAATAGCTTAAGACAACAAAATACTATGTCTTTGTTACTTTTTGACTGATACAATCCTAAAAAATTTGGTAGTAGTCCTCTTTTGAGCAGAGATAGCAGGATAGCACTACACCTCTCTTCCTTTGCCATGATTTCTGTATAGGTGCACACGCATCATATCACTGGTTTTAATTGTCTCTGTTGTCTGTCAGGGTAAGTTAAGCTTTGGATCCTGGTTTCCATTCCAGGTGCTGTCACGGTGCCCCTTGCTGGGAGCTGTGGCTGCTCAGCCCCCGGCACTGGCACGGGCCCTGCGAGGCGCGGAGCAGGGCGAGGCCGGTGCCAGGGGTGTCAGAGCCAGGGCCAGTCTGGCACCCTGGGCTCGGGGAATGCTCCGGGACTGCAGCTGTGCTGCGGGACCAAACGCAGACGTGCAGTGATGCTTAAGGGCTGGCTGTGCTGCCAGAGCATCATGTCTCATGTTTCACTAGAGAATTGCATACAGTCTTCGGGCCTTCATGACTCGTGTTTTATCCCAAGACACATCTCCTTTCGAAAAGACATTTAAAAGGTTCTAATATGGGTGGGGGTAGGAGTCTGGTCCTAGTAGGAGAAAAATTTTTCAGACCTTGCATACAAATTTTTGGAAAGAGGGAGCACACTGTTACATAAACTTGGAGCATGAGAAATGTGAGTATGTTCTGTAAATGATGCATTTGCTTGAATGAGTGATCACAATCAAACAATGCATCTTAATTGTTTTCTTTTCTATAGAGTAATCTTGCAGTCCTACAGAAATAATATGAACACCATGAAAGCAGTCTCTAAACAGTATTGTTGAAGTTTAAGCCTTAAATGAGAATATGTACAGACAGTTACTGTCATAAAATCAAAGCTATTGCTTCCACAATAAACAAAACTTTGCCAAAAATGTAGAGATCCTAAATCTATATTAATGGCTTAAAATACTAATGGTGGAAAATGCTCTTAATTACTTGCTGGTAAAAATATGAGTCACTGGCAAAAAAAAAATGAGAGTAAATTATCTCTATTTTTACTTTTGACTTTTGCTGTTACATAGAACTACTACTGAGTTGGTGCTTTATTTTAAAAATTTGTTTTTTTGGAGGGGACTCCCCAAACTTTCTAGCTTGCATTAAATATTTATTTCCTTCTGTGTGCATCCTCTCCTCCTTAGTGGTTCTTATAATCTTTTAAATTCCAAGATGCTATATGCTGACCCTGGCAGAAATGTGTATCTCCCAGTGGAACTTCCCATGCTGGTAGGTTTTGAGAAAAGGCAGTACACGATCCTTCTGACTTGATCTACATGGGAGGAATTGTGGCATTGGGATACATATCTAAGAAAATAATTCAGGTGCTATTGGTGTGTTAGAGGTGTTTTTGTTATACAGATTTGGTTTCATTACATTATAAGAGGAAGAGACTGTTCTTAGTATTCAAGGAGGATGACAGATTGGAAGTTATGTTTGGGATGGGCCCTTGTTGCTACTGAAAATAACAGTGGAGTCTCCAGGGAGTCTATTCAACTCTGCCATATCTATGTTAAAAGGAAAACACGTCAATTGTACTGAAGAACTTGGATAACTTTCACAAAACCACTTCAGTGTGACTTAGTTTTTTATCAGTTTTAAGGAGTGATGTACCTTTTCCAGACAGGATAAGGATATGAAAAATAAATAAACCATTCCTGTATCCAGAGTGAAGGGAAAAAAAAAAACCCTGGATTAGGGGGAACATGGAAAAATATACTGTAAATATAAGTTTTAATGCATGTAATATTTGCAGTGCTGGCTTTGGTAGCCAGCTTTCCACTGTCCTGCTCTGTGGGCTGCAAAGTGTCTGTAAAAGTCTGCTCAGAGTGACCATGTTTCAGCCTTTGCATGGATATAAATACCCAGCTCACATCTAGCAGTGTCTCCAGATATTGGCCATGATGGTGATTTGTTCTGCACAGAGTCCTGAAAGCCCAGGCAGTATCAGAATCCAATGTACTGGTTTGGGTGATAATAGCAGCAAGGCTGAGGAGGCTATGTGAATCTTGAAAGAAGATAGTAAACAGCAAAGCCAATGGTGCTGATGGTGGTGCAGGATTCATAGGCTATCTTTATAGTAATTTAGATGCAGCATCACTTCGGATACATTAAGGTGTGAATTTAGTAGTGATTTTTAGAATATTGAGCTTAACAATAATATTTTAATTAAAAATAACTTTGCGATGAACTTTGCTGGCCATTCTGAACCTAGCAAATATAGATAATTAATTTTTTATGAAACAGATGAGAGGGGAGTTTGATGAATGTTAGAAAGACCAGCAGCAATCTTAGAAGTTCGTCTAAGGAAAATTTAATTTGCCCTGAGTGCAGCAATGGACCTGTTACTCATCTGAAAACATCTTGTACAAAACAGCTGTTAGGTCACTAGTTCACCTCATCCTGAAGATAGGATTTCTCTTAACTGTATTCTCTCTTGAGATATTTTAATGCTATTTTGAAAGCTAATATTTATTTAACCCTATTTTTCCTCTTTTACATCTCTAATGCTGGTGTTAATATCTCTGCCTCTTGGATGTTTTGCAGCATTTGCAGACTCACCACTTCTGATCACTGAAGTATTGATACAGAGATGAAAATCCTTGTATTCCACTAGTAAGCCTTCTCTGCCTCCTTTGCACCTAAAGAAAATTATCTTTTTTTAATAGCTTCTTTTTCTTCGAAGGTTGCTCTCTCTTTGCCAATTGCTTTCCTTAAAAATGTCTTTGAAACTCATCTGGGGGACCATAATAATCATCTTCATAAAAAAAAAAAAAAAAAAAAAAGAAAAAAAAGAAAAAAAAAAGAAAGCAGAACAACCTATAGCATCAGAGAATTATTCCTCACAGGTACAGTTGGATAAGATGGGATTCATGCAACATGAATTTTTTTCAGAGCAGAGGTATTTGGTTGTTATTTACATGGGTAATCATTCCATAATTCTAAGAATTCTTCTAGAAAACAGAATTCTTTGTATAAACTGAAAACTTCGTATTTCTGGGGGGGAGGTTAGTGGTAATACTTACTGTTATACAAATGAGCTGGGATAATGATGAGTAATTTGTAATCACCTGGTACTGTGTGAACCAGCCAGAGAAATGCACCTGGGGGTATTACAGAGAAATTACACAGTTGTATAGTTTTTTATGCTGAGATCAACTATGAGGCCTTGACCAAGAATTAGTTCCTTCTCAGAATGAAAAAGATAAAAAAAACCCAGTGTGTTCCACTGGGCAGCACTGGAGCTGCACTTAGCTGATGAAGGTGTTTAAAGTTTATGGAAATGCTGGGAGTTAGTCTTGTTTCCCTGCTGCTTACTGTGCTGAAACAAGACCATTATAGGACAAATGCAGTGTATTCATGGGACTCAACTTTAAGAAGCTCTTAAGAAAGAAACTCTCTTTTTTCTTTTAAAGTAATATTATAAGTAGTATTTGCTGAGATTAACAAATGGTCTAAAAATGCTACTTTATTAATGTACCTGGGGAACAATAGGTATGTAATGGTACTTAAACAGGATGTTACATTTGGCTCACCCAAATCAGGGTTATTTTGTAAGAATAAGGTTTGATAATATGAATAAGTATTTTTAGGATCAGATTGCACTCTGCATTGGAAATTTCTCACAGTTAATGGTTCCTCCAGCTAGCCATTCACTGCCAGGAAAGCCCTCTTTATTGATTATTATTGTATATTAATGGATCTATCAGATATTTGTTTGGCAAGTTTCTTGGTTAAATTTTCTTTATTGATTTCTCCCAGGGATAAATGAGCTGCAGAAGTGGAAATAGGCAGTCCTCTTCTGCTAGATCTGGATATTTAAATGTATTTTGAAAATATCAGCTCTATTACAGGAGCATTTGGAACAGACATTTGGATTTCAATAACGCAGTGATTTCAAGACTTTTTATTATATAAGGATTAACTCAGAAAACAGATGGATGGACTATATCAAGAATCGTAGCATGTAGGAATCATAGGAGGGCAAATTTTTCCAGCAAAATTCTTGATACCTGTCTTCAGAAATGTCTGTGAAGAAGTCAAAACTCTGTGTGCAAATCAAACTGCACATTTTCAGTTACTGCTGTTTTGTGTGCAAATGGAAGTTTAGGAAACATAAATTTAGTAATTTCCTTGAAATTGATTGAGCCAATATCTGAGAGGTGATTGGATGAATTTATCAGTATTCTAGATATAGCTTGTAGTTGCTGCTTCACATTATAAACAAAGCCATTAACTGAAACACAGCTACATTCACTGAAATTAATTTCATTCATTGGAGATATTGGGCACATTTAATGCCTTTTCCCTTTCTGAAAAGATGGTAATACATTTTTCACTTTTGCAAATATTTAAATCAAGCTTCAAACTTAACTCGAATGATTACTTTGATGGAGGAGCAGGTTTTATGCATTCAACCAAACCTTTTTTTTTTTACATAAACATTTTTTTATGGCATCTTTTTGATAACACCTTGTATAAAGGCATTGCCTTCAGGAAGAAACATTGGAATTTGAGGATTGTTTGAAACAAATGTATATGGATATATGTCATGATTATGCAGCCTCATACACACCTGGATCAAATGGACTTACAATAATAATGGACCAAATTTGCAATAAAATGCTCTAATATTTCAGTGGACATGATTGCATGTGAAGCTACTTCAGAATGAAGTTCATGATCCTGAAACTCTTTTCTGAATATCTGTAGGAAGATGCTTCATAAAACCAATCATAGCAGAAGACTTCTTACAGTGTAGGGAATTGCACACACAAGGCTACACAGCAAGATGTAATTTAACCTTATGCATGTGTACCAGGATTTGCATGATTAATTTTTACTGCAGTTAAATCTGATGGTAAAACTAACCAGTGGATCAAACAATAATTGCAATGAGGGGGGAAGTTCATGCAGTGTTTTTGCTACCTTGTCCTGCAATAAGATAAAATATCAGATGGACAACATTTGCAGAGTTATTGTCACTTCTTATCAGTCTATCATAGTTTGGTTATAAACGTAAGAAATTTAAATTTGAGGTAACACATTGTGGCATTAAAAATTAGGTGTTTACATCTCAGTAATTGATCCAGAATAAAAAATAATTTGGAACTGCTAGAGAATTAAAGCAGTTGTTCAGAATGTGTGAATTTACTAACTCCTGTTTTTAAAGTACTTGTCCGAATCACTTTTTTTTTTACACAATCAGTTGTTACATAACGGCAAATAGGTTCTAAAAATGAGGCTAGTGGTTAGCAAGAATTGTTGCAATTGATTATCTTTATGCCCACACTATGAACTTCAGTAGCCTACTTTTCATACAAGTATTTTATACGATTTTTCAGACAATGGCCACAAAAATTCAAGGCTTGCTGCCTTCGTTTGAAAGTTAATTTGGATGAAAGTAAGGTTTGCATTTAAAGCATAAAAGCTCTTCCTGCATAAGTGCATGTGTGGACAGTTCTAATTCAGGAGTCAAAATATCTTCTGGCTTCACTTAAGCTACTTTTAATAGTAGTGTTTAGCTTAATCCTTAATTGAACTGGAACAGGTCTACATACCAGTTCAGCTCTAAATTATGTTGGAAAGGGAGTAGCTTTTCTGAATAACTACTATTAATTTTAGAAATATTTTTGCAATTATTTAGATCTAAGTTTGATCTCAGCATGCATTGACATGTACTGCAGCCTTTCAAATCTCAAGTCTAAATTTTTCAACTCATCAAATAACAGGCTGCAATTTAAATGCTCAGAAGACTGGTCTCCAAAACAGAATTGAAGATGTATTGAGTATTTGTGAAAGAAGTGTAACTTAGATTTGTGTTTTTTACCAATCTCAAGCTACAATTGGTTCTCTGTTGGTGATGGCTATTGTAATAACAGTATTTAACAGAAAAGGAGGCTGTGATAATAGTCATTAATTGAACAAATTGAACCATTGATTGTTTTGATACAGAGGAAGTAAAGGCATGTGCACAAATCCCATCAATCTCACTTACATGGTGTTATGACTTAGGAATAATTTCTTGTGTCAAGACTTAAGGCTGTCAGCTCTAAGGAGCAAGTCTTGTTATCTCCAAGTGTCTGAACTGTGCTTAACCAACTAGAACTGTTTTATGGTTAAGAGCTTTAAACATAATGGCAAAATATTATATAGGCATCTTTTTGGCATTTCAGTAGATTCTGAAAGTTAAAAATAAAATCTTTGCACTTAGACTTTTTGGGAATTCAAGTAATTATTTTTTCATTCTTTATTTGTTTTTAAATGATCATTTAAGCTCCTTATGCAGTTTTTAGAAAGGCTGATGTGCATACCTGGGTTACTCTGAAGGTCAAATACTCTGCATATTGAACATTTCAAGCTGCTGTCCTGCTTAAGTTCCAAATCATTAGCTTAGCAAATAGGAGCCTAAATATAAGCAAAGTCAATAGGGAAAAAAAAATCCACTGCATAGTATGTCTAATGATAGAAAAAGCTACAGAAAGCAAACATAAATTTTTAATTCAACATTCTTTAATTTAAAAAAAACAACAAACCCACACCACCTCCACTCCCCTCCCCCCTGACAAGCTTGCAAAAACTAGGTCTGAATTCTCAGTGGGAATAATGAGCAACAGCAAGAGTGAATGCTGGGAGAGTAGAATGCAATTGTATTAGTCTCCATCACAATGGGAGGTAAACCCAAATCATTTATAAAACGTAAATGCTGGCAGAACACAGGGAGCTCGGAGCACCACACTGCAGGTGTGATTTATGAGGCTGGGGACTGGCTATAAATCAAACCCTTTTGTTTTAAATAGTACTGCTTCAACGCAGGAGATCATTTTACATGTAGAGGAAATGATGAAAAAAATGCAGTACATTGCATCCCAAGAATATTAGAGAATCAGCTTTACAATGTGACTATCAGGACCATGCTCAGACAATGGGTATCTGATACTCAGTTTAACGAATTCTCCCACTGCTGAACGGAATGCCCTAATCTAGCAACTCAGGTTTGCTTCAAATGTATTAATCATGGGATCTATTTTGTGAGACCAGCTGTTAAAATCGTTGCATGTGGGATCAGGAATATATTGGCTATTCTTGTTAACTAGTTAGAAGTGTCCTTTCATGCCAGCAAAAGCCCTGCCTGTTTCTATGTTATCCATATTTTTCCTTAATTCTAAAGGCTGATGGGCCTCATTATTTAGTGGCCTTGTCCTATGGAAATAGGTGAATAAAACAATTAATTCCTAAAGATTCAAATACAAAGTAGGCATCCTGCAAAGTTCTGCTCAATTGCAGGAAAATGCACGTCTGGCAAGGAGAAGTGCTTTTCTCCCTCTATTGGTTATATAATTATCAAATGGAAGAGATTTTAAAGGCAATGAGCAAAGTGATTTCTTCTGCTCTATTTTCTGGATCTGCCAGAGTTTATCTTGGCTGCATATTTTGCATTCATTTTACATGCATGCCACTAGAGCCTATGCTATATGCATAAAACTACACTTTATGTATCGTGCAGTGTGGGCCAGAGAAACACTTTGAAAAGCTGAGAGAATGAAAGGCCCACATAAAGGTAGGTACAGCAGTCATATAAGTTTTCAAAGAAATTTATAGTGAAACAAAAGCTTCACGCATTGCACTTGTGTGTATCCTGACCATTTGATGCGATGGCCTTATCATGAAATTGTAGAATGGCTTGGGTTGGAAGGGACCTTAAAGATCATCCAGTTCCAACTTGCCTGCAATAAGCAGGGACATCTTTAAATAGACCAGGTTGCTCAGAGCCCCATCCAACCTGACTTGAAATGCTTCCAGGAATGAGGCATCCACAACTTTCCTAGGCAAACTGTTACAGTACCTCAGCCAGCCTCACAATAAAGAATCCCTTCCTCAATCTAATCTAAACCTACTTTTTTTATCAGTTTGAAGGCATTCCCTCTTGTTCTCTCACTATATGTACTTGTAAAAAGTCCTTCTCTGTCTTTCTTGTCTTTCTTCAGGTACTGTAATGTCACAATTAGGTCATCCCTTGTCTTTTCCAGTCTGATCAAACCCATTTCTTTACACCTTTTCTCATAGCAGAGTTGCTCTATCCCTCTAGTCATCTTGGTGGCCCTTCTCCGGACTTCCTCCAACAGGTCCATGTCCTTGCTGTGCTGGGGACCCCAGAGCTGGATGCAGCACTGCAGGTGGGGGGGTCTCACCAGGGCAGAGGGACAGAATCCCCTCCCTCACCTGCTGCCCATGCTGCCTTTGATGCAGCCCAGGCACGTT